TATAAACTCACTAACCCATATGCAGTGCTGCGCGTGCGCATATTTATTGTCGTTAGTCAAGCGTGTCGTGGTGTTTTAGCGTGGGAAGCCTCCTTAGCCGATTTTTCTGCTTGTTTATTTATTCTTTTTCGTGGCTTCCCATGAGCGTTCTCAGTGCTTTTCGGCTTTCGTCTGGCTGGCGCGCATATGGATTCCAAGCTGTGGCCGCGCGATCGATCGCGATCGAGTGTGCATTACAAAACAGACACGCGCAAGGGCTTATAATTGGACGCATAACTCTATCAGTCGCAGAAAAGTTCGGAATGCCCCGGCTGTCATACAACGAGTCCCGTTGCGCGCGCGTATTGTGATCGCTCCTTTATCTCTCGAATCTCTAAAGTCGCAGGCCTCCGCGAGCCTTTGTCGCGATTTGATTCGCAATTATTAAACTGTTCGCGCGTGTTGCGCGCGTGGGAAGTGGGGAGGCCATTAAAAATTAGCGTGCAAAGGGAGACCGCAGCGGCGATCCGCTATCTCTTCTCTCGTCCGCAAAGGCGGCTTTATTATTTGAAGGGTGTAGCGCGACGCCAATTAAACGCATGTGCATAGACTCCTTTTTCTCGTTAGCGCACGACCGTTGCGTTTCTTTGCTGCTCTCCATCCGATCGGAGCGCGCCGTGATTCTTATTTTTCGCGATTTGCAAAAAAGGGAGAGAGGCTGACAAAATCAACCGGCTCGAAAGCTCGCAGCGACGAAGGAAATACACTCGCACCTCTGCAGCGCGGTCTTGAGAAATGCGCTCTACCGGGGCGTCTCGTTTAAAATGCAGATTACGCCATTTGCAAAGCGACGCCGCTGCGCGCCAAGACCAAGCTTGGAAAATGCTCGCTCGTTTTAAAAGCGCGCCGCGACAATGAGCGCTCGCGCGCTCTGCACCTGGGACATGCCGCCTTTGCGCTTTTGAAGTTGATTTTTCTCCTTTTCCTTCCGAACTGGAGCTTTCTGTGATATACGTTGGCGGAGCGCTTTGTTTGTCTTCGTTTAGCCTTTTTTGCAAATGGAAACGAGTCCGAAGGCACGCGGGCAACAGGAGAACCTTTCCTCGCTTTTACCGTCCCGACGAAGCTAAACTCATTAATAACAGTATCGAGTAAGATTGGGAAATGTATTAAACTTGTTGATCGGCGGTATATATGTACGCAAAACAGCTGCACGCTGATATCGATCATCGAGCGGATCCCACACACCGCTATCGCGCGACGCCGATGAAAGTAGCCGATTACGATCGGCGATGCGAAGAAAAAACTTAAGGCAAGGGGCTAACGATAAAAGAGGCGCACGTCAAAAACTTTCATCTTCCGCGATGCCAAATTAAACGCCATGACGAGCCCGCTGCCTTCTCTTTTTTAGATTGCATGTCGAAGCAACCTCACGGAGGATGTTTTGTTTGGTTTGCACAAGTCTCAGTTGATGCGTGGGTTTGCGTTCTTTTGCGTAAAAGATCAAAGGCTTATTTCAACTGTGAATAGAAAATAATTAAATTTATTAATGAAAGTAAAACACTAAAGTTACATGGAGCACAAAATCTAAATTTATATTGCAAACAACAAGGAAATTTATCAGCAGCGCAGCAAAACAATCCATTTGCAACCGTTTAAAAGACTGTAACTCCCCTAATAAAAACATTCTTCTAACCTCGCGCGAACAGTACCTTAAAGACAATCACCTCTCGTATGTAAATATCGGCAAACGGTAGAGCAAGTTTTGCCAGAAAAATGGTCGTTGTAGCCAGTACCTAATAAGCGTTTAAACCGCGGAAGCTGTAACAGTATCCCATGGTATATAAAAGGGAGAAGCTCGCGGACACAATTGGCCATTGAAGGGAAACGGGGAGGGCGCGCGCTTTTCTGGGTTATCAGCGCGAACCAAACAATGGGGGCTTGGTTCTCGCGGAACGAGATAAAGTCGCGCCCGCGCTCTGTAACTGTACACATATGACCAGAAGATTTTCGTCGTTTCTATGTACACGACTATTCAATTCCGCCGTATGCTCGACGAAAATGCATCTTTTTTAATCCACGCGCTTATATTTTTTACCGATCATACTTTTTTAATCAGTTATTCGTTTGTTTATTCCGCAATATGTAAATGACCAAGTTCTCTTATCAAAAAATTGATAGTTCAATGATGATGGCTAAAGTCCGAGATAACTGAATTACACTCAGGTAGAACGTCGTTAACGAGGTTTGGTCGAGCTAGTCAAAGCTCAATACCAAGTTTCGTTATTGGCACGTTCAATTTCTATAGATGACATTTGTTCAAATCTTTTAAAAATGCTCCGATTCCATTCCCACAATAGCTTCAGTGCACCTTTCAACAAAATCAAATGGCTTCGTCATGCAGTCTAATCTTGGTCGCATTGTTCCTCTTAGCTCTCAATTTTCTCAGAAAAGAAACCGAACCAACGCGACTTGCATTCCACGTTGGCTTTCAAGCTTAATTGCTCGGGGCGATTTTCCACGCGTCGCAACTGCACAGCCATTTTACACGTAGCGAGGCAGTGAGTCCCGCCTATTTGCTTATTCTCTTATTTTTGCGTGCTGCGACTAATCCCAATTACCCGCGAGCTACGGAAATTTGGTTTTCAAAGGGATCGCTAATAATATGAGGCTCTTTCTGCGAATTCTCGCTAACACGCAAATCGGGTCAGAAGGTTGAGAGAGAGAGAGAGAGAGAGAGAGAGAGAGAGAGACAGACAGATTATTTTAGAAAGATAGTGTATAATGAGCTGTGAATTATCCGGCTGCCAATTGGGAAATATGATCTGGCTGAAGTCGCTGCGCGTGGAAAAAGTATCAAGTAATCATTGTGAAATGCCATCGCGAGAGTACACACCATTCCAGCAACTGCCAATTTGCGCCGGAGGAAAATTTTGTAATTATTCGAGTTTGCAAATGGATTCGCGTATAGGATTTTCACTCGTCGATTGATTGCGGAAGCGCTCACTGCGCGATCGCCCGGTAAAAGCTTAAAGACGAGGGAAAAGAAAATAAAAGAAAAAATGAAAAGCTCGCAAAGTAGCGCGGCTAAGGCGAGCTCGCCGGTGGCACGCGGCCGACGCGTGTTCCCACTCTCGTCCCTAAATCACATTCGACGCCAAATACCCCGAGATTTTTGCGAGCGAGCATCCGGTCGCGCAGATCGCGCTTCTTTATTTCGGATTCTTTGGGCCTCGTTCTCTTTGCGGATGTGCTTCGCGGTTTCCCCCTTGCTTCCCCTCAGCTACGCTCTCGTCTATTTTGAATTTCGTGCCACAGGAATTTTTAATCCCCACGGCGAGTCGCACAAGCTTCAAGCTGCACGCGCGAGTTTCCATTTTTGCGTTAGGTGTTCGACTGACGTTAAGGTGACGTTATAACTGCGCGAGACGCTTAATCTGTAGGTTTTTGTGGATTCAGTGCAGCACAAGTAGATGGTCAAACTAGCGCACCAAAGAGCTGGATGTAACGAGGTCATTGCGTTAAATATGTTTAATAACATGGCGCCCCCTCGACGGTTCAGCCCCTTGCAGAACGAGAATACAGATGTCTTTATTAGTTCGTACATTACTACTATTGCTGTGTCTGGTGTGGAATGAGACCTCACGACTATTTTCTTTTCCACGGTGTATACACATGTAAGAACAACCGTGTATTCTGCGTCGAATGTATTTCAGTGCAATTTCTGTTTAGCCGACACTTAGATTACTAGTGCAACATTCGTCATAAATGAGTGCTTATTTGCTGTGTCTATTGCTTGCAATATAACCGGTTGCGCTGGAGCTTCGATCACGATAAAACATGAAATCATCGTTGGGTTTTTTTGCGAAAACGGCCGCGCGGACCGACTCAAAATTGATTATAGTTGCATTATTGCACCTGCGATTTATAATTTTAGCAAACCATTGGAGAAAGCCCGCGACAAATTTTCTCAATTTATCGCATATCGATAATCATACAAGTGTAAAGCTGGACTTGGATGCAAACGACGTTATCGGAAAGAATTATTTCTTTAATGGCTATTTGATCTACGAAAATGTAAGACGAAATGAAGCGTCGTGTTTCACGTAAATGTTTATTTATAGTAAATTCATATTGATATAGCGCACTGCTATTAAAAGATTTTTTTTTCCTCTTTATGTAGTTGATATAAGATGGCCTCCGATAATTGATGTGGTTTATCTACGTCATTTTCTTATCAATGGTTAATCAATTTTCCACGAATGAGATGATTTTTCGTAGGCAGTCACTAGCAATGTACCGTTCTCCTTCGAAACCCTTTTGGTTCCATTACAAATACCTAACCATCTAATTGGACGAACGACTTAATAAAACTACGTAGGACTTATTACGCAATTGAGGATTTGCAAAACATGTCTAATTATAGCCCGACTTCCAAAAAAACCGTAAATTCTTCTTGCTCGCGTGAAGGAGAGAAGCGTGTAATTTTGCTTCCTCTTTCATATATATCAGATAAGATCATATTCTGTCCCAAAGTTGATTTTAACGTCAAATTTTCAAGCCAATTACCTTTTCAAATTATACATATTCAGGTAATGATACGTTTTCAGAGTACCTCCCTTTTTTCTGAATGATCGCTTGTGCATACGTTTACCGATTTCGTAACTAACTTCGCATGCCTAATCGATTATGCTAAATTGTTATGACTGCGTGTAACGAGCATTGTTACGACTTTTTCCGGCGAAACTCGCGCGAGACGCCTAACCGTCAAAGGTTTTTGAATCTAAGATTCTGAACATGAGAATGATCGACATGATTATATTATTATTAATCGACAGGATTTGATCGGCGCAATCTATTTGACACGATGAGAAAATAAATGAATCTTAAATCGAACGTCTGTCTCTTTATGCGTCGTTTATAATGAAATGATATGCGAATATCCGAAGCAAAGAATAAAACCAACTAAGAATAATTAGCCGTATTAACCAGCAGGCACGCTTTTGTTTTATCGATTGCAGGGTAACGCATTGGTGACGCCCGAAGGTTGGCCTTTAACCCTCGGTGGCCACGGACTCGTGCTGAGGCTCGGCGAGTTAGAAGCCTCGGCGCTGCGTCTCGGGGAATGCTACCTCTGCGTGCGCAGCGCCGCTGCTCTGGCCAGCGCTGCCACTGTGACTCTCGACTCAGCAACGCTCGCGGCACCAGTCACCGCTGAACAGCAGCGCAAGGATTCTGTTGAGGTCAGTTTATCACTGTGCTTTCGTAGCCGAGCGCCGATTCCGATTCAAATTCCGACGAGTCTTGCAGACGCTGCTTCTGCATTGACTCGTCGCGGAAACATTGCAAAAAAAGTCAATAGTGATTTGTACATTATCCGCGGGCAAGTTTTCACTTTGTAATCTCTACCTTGAAGTTTTTCATTTCATCGCTTCATTTTGAGATGTACGTAATCATCGATCTCGGAAAGCCATTGCGATTGTCATTGAAAAAACGTCTCATAAAACAGTCGCGGACAATCGCCTTACGAAAGCCGCGAGAACGAGCATTGACTGAATGCACAAAAAATTGCAGATAGCCCTGGTGTGGCGATCGTCGTCGATGCGTGCCCCAGGGCTGTTGGGCTGGGAGCTGGAGGACGAGCTGACAGTCGGGTCGGAGTGGCGCGAGCCGTTAGTGGCCGCAGCCGCAGCACCCAACTCGTCCTCGTCGGCTCTGTCCACCACCTCGTCGTCAACGGCGTCGTCCGTTGATTCGGCAACAAGATGGACGCATCATCACCATCACCACCGTAACCATCGTCGCTACCATCACGAGAGCCGGTCGACCGAGCGCCACCACCACAATCATCACCGCCATCGCGAGGATAGCTTCGCGAGTCGAAGCAGCGCCATCGATGAGTTGCTGGGTCACCACGACGTCGTCAAGTCCAAGTCGTCGTCGAGCGTGGACGCGTGGGCCGAGGAAGCTCGAGCCGCCAGCGAGAGACGATCGACCAGCTCGAGCCGATGCGCCGGCGAACGCGACAATCAGGCGCACGGCTTTCCCGCTTACGGTAACGCTCATTTTCCGTCCGCTCCGTCCGCGACTCGTTCGGATTCGCCTTCGACGCGAGGCACTCTGGCTCACGCGCTGCTTCTTGGAACGACAGCAGCAGCCGCGCCTGATCACCGCAGCAAGCTGAAGCGGGGCACGCGAGTGGTGTCGCCGGCGACAATGGAAAAATGGAAGGAGACCAGCCGCTGCGAGACACGCAGTCGCGTATTAGCCCCGCGCGACTTGGCCACACCCGTGGCCCTCGAGACAGTGGCAACGATCGAGCCGCCGTTCAAGGATCGCCAGCTGGCCAACGGCGACGCGACGGCGCTCCATCGCTTCGAGCACGTATCACGACCGGACCAGGTGTCGGACCTCGAACTGCCGGCTTACATCAGCACGCTGCTCGTCACGGTCGAGCGTAAAATCGAGAGGGTCAACGTCGACGACTTGACCTTTCCGTGCACCGCGTGCCGCAACATCGACACCGACGACCCGCTGCTCGGTTGCAAGTGCGCGGGAGACAGTTGCGAGTGCGTGAACGAGGCCAACTGCGAGTGCGGCGACGCCGGCTTGCCCAAGCTCGAGACCGCCAGGAGCTTCGAGATCGCCGGCATCAAGCACATCGACAGCGACGACGAAGAGGAAGTGCGCATGGGCTTCGGTAAGTACCTTCCTCCTTCTCTCGCTTCGAAGCCTGCCGCTTCGGCACAAGTAGCCACGCGGCCGCGGTAACGCTGGCTGGGCGTACGGTCGCGACCTCGCACTCGCCGCCGATTCCAGCCGAGCAACCGCAGCGAATTTGCTTTATTACCTGCGCTCGCTCGCGAGACCCGAAAAATCCGCTTAACGACATCGACCGCAACGGGAATCCCTGCGCAGAGATAAGAGCGCACCGCGGGGAGGTGCAACGAACTCGCAAAAATAAATAATTGCCGCGAAGACAAGGAGGAAAGAGCGAGAGTCGACGCCGTGAAAGTCGCGGCACATACTTTACGAGTGCGTCGTTGTGCTCTCAATGGACGATGACATAATTACGCGCATACATAATGCGCACGTTTCGGCAGTAAACCTGGCAGTAATTGGTTCGCGCGCGCTCGCGACACACCCACGGCGTTGCCGACTGGTTTTGCGCGCACGGCGAAACAGATCCACTCGACGCTTCTAAAGCCGGCGCGCGAACTACTTTGCCGTAGGGGAAAACGTCCAACGACGGCAACAGCGACAACAAAAAACGCGAGCACATAGACGCCCCAGCAATTAAACTCCACTAAACGACACATCCGCTGGCAGAAGAAGCAAACGCGCGACGAATTAATCGGCGCTCGCGACTTCGCGCAGTGTCTGCGCGGCTCTGAGTCAGACGCGGGATACTTGCATTTTTCAGACAGACCGCGTGAGCGGAATATCGAACGTGGCGGGCGTTGGCAAGAGCATCTGTGTCGGCCGGCAATGTTTCACGAGAGTTTGCCTGGACTGCCGAAAGAAGAGGCGGCCCATTCGCTCACGCGTTGCGCTTGCGAAATTCACTTCTCGACTTTGTCGTTGACTCCGTTTTCCCGAAAGAGAAAGAGAGAAAGAAAACAATCGGAAACATTTGGAATTTTTCAGTTGCCACGAAAGCGGTATGTCCGCACTTTTGAAAGTGAAGCGTGAAAAATGGCCTGGCGACAGTCGCACGCCGTCCGCGATGTTGCGTGGGCGCTCTAGGATAGAAGGTGCTTTTTTCACGAGCGCGACGACGACGACGACGACGACGACGACGACGACGATTGTGAAAAACGAGCGCGCGCGCTGCGAGGGAATGCCACTCGACCGCATGCCCGCTGCACCGCCGCGTCGCCCGTTGTCGCGCGCCGGCTGCACATACATGCGAACGCTTTAATGCGAAAAACCGAGCAGGTCAGAGTGCCCGTAGCTCCAGTGAATTTTAATTGCTCGGCAATTCGAATCTCGCACGTTCCGCAGCTAAATGTGCGCGTTTCTTTGTCTAAGGAGGGGCACGACAACTTTTACGCCCGAGTACTTTCATTTTGCCCGTTGCATTTGTTTAATACAGTTCGTTGACGTTTGTAGAACTAGATGAACGTGCTATCATGCGAAATAAATTGTATTCGGGAGGCCGCGTATTGTAATCGATCGGCTCTTTTGTTACGAAAAACTTGAACACAATGGAGCAGCTTACACGAATTGTCCAACTGTCGGTCCGAAGAATTTCTCGTCTCTTCAGACTAATTACCATTTTGAACTTAGTCAAACGAGCAATTGGTTTTTTGAAAACAACAAGCCCAACACCCGACGAGTGCGCTACTAAAACGCCATTTTTCAACTGTCTCCATGTATCAACAGGCCAACCCACGCTAGGCTAATCAAATCATGCTGAGAACCGCGCCGGAAGAAACGCGCCGAGAGCACGCGCGACAAAAGATAAGGGACCGGCGCACCACGCGCTTTTCTTTCGTCCAATCGTTTGACTAGTCGTCGAGTCCGAACACGCGAATGTATCAAGAGAGCATCGACCATTGAGTACATATCAGAAGTTCGCTCGCGACATTACTCCGGCAGTTGACTTTTTTATGAAGTGTTGGCGCGCGCGAGGGAAAACGCGCGCCACGCCCACTTTTATCACCTGCTGCGAAATGGTCAGCGGTCTCAATATACAGTTGTTATCGTCAGCACGGGCAAGAGAGCAACGAACGATGCCGGAGGTATTACGGCTCCCGATCGTTAGTCGCCGCCGCGCGACCCGATGAACTTTCAGCTGACTATGCGTCGATCATCGGGAGCTTTCGCTTTCTCGCAAGTAGGCGTTGGGCCGGCCGCGCGACGGGAGCGCGATGATAATTACTCGGATGAAAGTCGTCCGAGACTGCAATTGGAACTTGCGAAACGGCGCGCACGCGATGCGCGAACGCAAGACCGACAAATAAAAAGGAAAAGCGAACGATTGCAGGAGCGCGCAGGCAAATCGGCGCGAGAGGTCGGCCGCGAGCCCGACGTGTTGTAAAGCCCGTCGATCTCTCGAGCGCTAAGTATGATTGAGGCGGACTCGAGGCCCGAGACCAGACGGGCATCTTGTGTCCTCGAGCAACGCGGATGGGAACGCGCGCGGCTCGTCTATTTCTCGGTCTTCCTCTCCCGCCACGCGGCGAGCGATTTTCTTCCTCCTTCTCTCGAGGCTGCTCGCTGCAATAATTTGCGCTTCGATCGGGCTTTAATCCTTCAAGATCGCAATCTTCTATTATCGGCCGTTTCTCCCTCGACGAGAGCTGCTTGCTTGCTTGCTTGCTTGGTTGCTTGCTTGCTCGCGAGCAGGATGCAGCGCGCACGCGAGTCCCCGAGCGACGCGTGGACTTTTCGGCGACAAGAGCGGGACGCGAGCGTAGGTACAAGTCGACGTCGAGGTACATCGGCCGGGACAAGAGCTGCGAATCAAAGACACGGTGACGTCAGAGAGCCATGTGCTCGTAAAGTGAAGTTGATTGTCTGAAATAGATTGCACGAGAGCGAAAAACACTTGTATTCGATTATGTTGCACGCGCTCGCTCCGCTGTCGCCCGTCATATCTGATTATATCTCGTGTTTATGCCCCATTGTCTGGCACCATTGTCTTTCCTTGTGATTTCCTTTATTGCGCTTAGCCTCCTATGCCTTGCGATTATTAGACGACGATCTAATTCCGCTAATTTTGAATTGCGCTCGACACGCTTCGCCGGCTCCGGCGAACGCTTTTTCGAAAATCAAGGAGAAGCACTCGTGCGCTCCGGCTAATCGCCGGAAGTGCCCGGGATATCCCGATTTCACGAACGGCTACAACGCAACGCGCCGTGATAAGCAATGGCCCGTGTAATTCTACAGGGCATTTTTCATTGTGTGTGTGTGTGTGTGTGTGTGTGTGTCGGATGGCGCGCTTTTGTCGCCTACTTCGGAGTCAAATGATCTGTCCTATCGATTACGAACGGTTAATTACTTCGTTCAAGCCGATAATTCAAGCGCTTGACGATTGATAAGATGATCATTTTGCGTGAATTTCAGATTTGTATTTTTCTTTATTTCCGATTGACAGCGGTTCTACGAACTGTTGGAAAGCTTCGCAAGATCATCCAGGAATTGCGTCTATTCGTAGACAATTCGAAGAACAACCAGATTCATGACTTTTAATTAATTCCCTATAATGAAGCTTACGTACCGTCATGCAACTGTTAAATACTTCCGACGATTAGCCACGCTCATGAAAATAAATACAGTAGAGAAAAAGCTGAAATTGAGGAAATGAATACAATGGATGCGTAAAGCTACTGATAAATGATCATTATGCCTCGGAATTACAAAATTCACCGCTGTTCGAGAAAATTTTCCCTCGTATAAATTACATCATGCGTGACTCTGACCGGTGCATTCACAGTTTATTTCCAATTATTGACATCGATTTGCACTAATTGCGTGATGCCACGTCTCCGAAAGGACTTTTATTAACGAACAAATCAAACTTGTCAATCAGGCAATTCCCATCGTTGGGAAACCAATCGTGCCGAAGCTTCTTCCGATCATTCGTTATCTGCCGCGAAAAAGTAAAAAGTAGTTCCTTTTTTCACCTCCGATCCCATTGATCTAGGTCAGCGAGGAAAAACGGCCCTGACCTCATTACATCACATACCCTTAGCAAACACAATATACCATACAGGCACAAAGAGGAAATCACAGTTTGCACTCTCCCGCGGCTCTCGCGTTTCGCGATCGTACCACTGATAAATATGGACTCGTCACGCCGTCGCCGCCAACGCCATACGATATCGGTTCTATTCGTGCGCGCGACAACGACTTTACCGATTTTCTATTATACGCACTTGTGCGATCGTCAGTTATCGTTTGGTTAGTACTTTCAAATTCACCTGTCTTTGTTTTGCGTCTTGTGTTCAGTAGATTTAATCGAACGTAAGTGGAACACATTAGAGCAAAAATTTCAGCACTATACTTTTCAACAAATATGTCATTCTTGCCTTCGAAATTCACAGGGAGCGCAAAGTATGCAGGTATTCCCCACTAAAGAACGTTAGAATTTAGGAGAACTTGATAAATCTACCGAACCGTTAGTTGATTAATGCCGTTAAACGTTCCGACATCTCATAAACGCGCGACTTCAAATATTCGGCCCATCACCCCGTGAAGAGAGAGAAAAATCAACTTCCACAAATAACCCCCATTAAATTTCAATAAAGAACCTGGCAGCAAAAAAAGGCGATCTCAGTGAAACGCTGCCACGCGAGCGGTTTTTTTCCTCGCCTGAACACACTTCGCATAATTGCCTTCTCTTTACACTTGGAGAAGATAAACAGAGAGAGGAGAGGGAGAGAGAAAAAAAGGGAGGAGATACCAACCCGGAAAAGAGTTGACGCGTGTTACAGTGTAAATCGAAGGAGTGCGAGAAAGAGACATGAAATTGTTGGGTGATTCATTAAGCGAACGAGACGACTTTTACTCAATAAGAACTGGAACGAATGTGGTAGGTATGTAGGACGCTCTTGTATCACGACAAAATAAACAATGCCATTCGGTCGTCCTTGTTTTGTTGATGGCGTCTTGGAAAAACATTGCTGCTCCTTCATCATACCATCTTTCATTGTCTATAGACGTATCGTATGCAGAACTTGCGGTACGGATTTATTATCAAATTCATTATCGTTATTTTACTAAAATCACTAATACTTTTTCTTTTTTTCTTTTGCTTTATTTAGTTTTTTTATTGTTTTGTTTGTTTATTCTAATTTTTCAATATTGCAATACATTGGTATTTGATTGTTTCAACGGTAAACTGCCGATAGGCATTTTCTGTAAAACTGTTTATAAAATGATCACAGTAATTAATCGATAAATGCAAATTTTGAACTGCAAGTTATTATCTTTGTTTTGAAAACAGTCACCAATGTTGACTCCAACAATTGTTGTCTTACTTATTAGCAATAGAATATCATTATCTATGATTTCCTGAATTGATAACTTTTTAATTGAAATTCGCCCAAACGAACGAATGATTCCGACGATTGAGCGTAGTAACGCTATTGATTTCATTGTTTTTTATATAATCAATGTACATACATATTTGAATAAACGTTCTTCATCTCATAGCATCTTTAGTTCAATAGCAGTCAGACCATAAATTTTCATCACTATTCATTGCATTCCGACTAACAGTTATTGCTTTTATGTCCTATAGTTTGTTATCACTATCAGTTGAAAATTCTGCTAGCATTATGTCGCACTTCTTTCAACACTGTGAGAAACAATTGATCTGAAAATAAATAATAACTTTACAATAATCTAAATTACCGTCACAATAACCATGTCGTAATTAGTATTTTTATCTTTTTTATTAGTACATCGTTTTCAATCCACTCATTATAAATAACCCATCGACTTATTTTATAAATTTGAGTACTTCTTATTTCTATTGGACCCGTTATTATCATCAAACATTTATTGCTTCCTCGTAAAGGAATCTTTGTTTTGATAAAAAAATTGTTTTACCGAAAATCATTGTACAAGTTTGTTGAAGGTTATCAGAGGCTTAAAAATGAAATTTTTACGTAATGTCTATATGTATATATATACGTGTGTGCATGTATGTGTGGGTCGTTGTCCATAACTCAGATTATACGGTAAAATTGGTCGCGTAAGAGCTTTTTGTATGTGTTTTTACCACGTGAAACGTCGATAAAAGTTCATTCAAATCTATCGATTACTTCGGTCAAAAATCAAAATTATGTGATTTTGAAAAAAAGATATCTTTAGTTATTCTCGTTTTAAAGTTATTTTGCAAAAAGTTTAAAAAATTATATTTCGAAAAATATTGCACGAAACTTTTTCAAAATGTTACTGAAGGTGTCTCATATTATTAGTGAAATATCTTGTACATCTCAAGTTTTTGTATGGATTAGTTTTCGCAAACCAATTTTTTTCTCCGAAAATAGACCTCTTTTGTTTTTACAATAACAGGAGTCAATTGAATCAAATTGTAATTTGGTACAAATATTACTAATCATAAAGAATGACCGAGTTCTTTGTCATTCAGGCCAATGAAGTGGAAAAAATATCTATGATAAAAAGAATTAGAAATTGAATTTGTTGACAAGAAAGTTAACTGCTAAAGAGTTAACTTGGCATTTAAACGCGGTTTTTTGATATTAATTTTTTCTTTTTGATAGGTTTCTAAGTATCACATCAAAAAAGTATGATTGCAACTGAAATAAGATGAACGTATATTCATTTACTTTGGCTTTCGTCATATTTTGTGGAATTGCTTTGCTAAAGTAAAGTAAATCAACTGTGAAAGATGAATTAATTTTCATACAACTTTTATTAAAGCTTTTAGTTGAATAAAAGAATATATATAATATAACCGAACAATTCTTAAGTCAAGACACTTTTGGAAAATATAGCTCTAACTTCTATTTACGAAACATCATTTCGAAAATTCTTTCAAATAACTGTAGGCTGTACATTATAGCTTTTCTTTCGAAATGTTTGTTCGTATCGTGAATTCAAGATTCGATAAGTCTCTAAATCTTCCAGGCCTATTTCAGATGATCATTGTACATGAACAATCATAATCAATTAATAATTTCATATTTTCCAACCAAAAATTTGGGCCTTTTAAAACCCAATATGTGTACGGGCACGGAAACGCAATTAAAGTCTCAAGTGGAAACTGGATGAAAGTCGGCGAGATTCCTGCGAAGTACACCACGAGACACGAATGTGAATGTAATCGGCGCCGTATGGGAGAAAGAGAGATGTTTCTTGGCAGGCACTGCAATTAGCTGAGTGAAGCGAAGTGTCTAATTACGATTTGTCCGAGACTGTGGTACTAGGGAAGTAGGTGAATACACTGCACCGCTTTTTTATAACATTGCGTTCGTACTCAATTGAAAATTTTACATTTTTGTTTGGAATAGTAAACATTCTGGCCTTAAGTGAATAAAAAATTATTCAAATATCAGACGAAATTGGTAATAATAACGAATTCTAACTCTAATTCTAATTGTAAAAAATGCTTAAACTTATTTTAAATTGATTATTTTTTATTCAATCAGATTTTTTCTATATCGTATATACTAAAAACTATGTAAAAATAAATTTAACGTAAAATTTTCCTCAAACATTTCTTATCATTTATCGTTGTTTAGTTCGTCACGGCACGACGGAAGAAATTGTTTTTCGGAATACGTTTTAAGGAATCTATCTCGGGAGTGCAGCTTACTTATTATTTTTCCGTATAACCCAATATTTCAAAATATCCACTATTAAACATTAAGTAATAAAAATATTATTTGTTCATAAAAATTAACTACACTACAGCTGTCTAAAATAAAATATCAATAATACTCTTATAAAATAATACTCTTATAAAATGTTATGTTTGCGTAGCTATTGAAACAACCTAGAATAATGATTCCTAATCAAATTATTCATAGATTAATTGTGCCGCATTGCATGATTTACCGATAATTGAAGAAAGGCATAAGATTTAATTTTTTGAAATAATTGTTACTCGTATATTATTTCAAACTTTTTAAAAATTTATCATTAATAATTCTTATTAAAACTTGTCCTATTCCATTTGATTAACTTCGTGAATGAATTTTCCAGCAAATTTAAGCGACGTGTGTACGTTGATTAAATTAGATGAAGACGATGAAGACGATGAAGACGAAGCACCCTGTTCCGGAGTACAGCTAGCTTTATTAATCCCGATTATAGTTTTACCATCACTCATCACCAAAGGACTGCCGCTATCTCCCTACAATATAAATAGCCACATTATATTTAAGTCAATCATGCCAGTTTTCATAGTTAGCTTACATTGGTTAGACAAACAATAGATGCAGATGTACAAAAATATACTTTTTTTACGGGCACGGAACATTGTTCCTGAGGAATTACAACTAAAGTTCCAATCCTCATATTTATTGGTACTTGGCCGTTTTCCATTTTTCCCCAACCTCCGGTCATAACGTTTGTACCTGGTAACTTTTCGATGTCAATATTACACCTTATTTTAGGCAGCGGAATAGTTGAGCTCACTTCTGCATATAGCTGAAGCGTCAAAAGAAATAATTTTCAAATATTCATAAAGATGTAGCTCCATGCAATATATAAAACTTAAACATACTTTAATTATTGCTACATCATAATAAGCAAATTTATTCTTAATGGGATTCACATTATTAGACCATTCCATGTAAGTTTTCCACCATTTTATTCCATAAATAGTAGCATCTCTCAAGTTATGTAATTCTGCTTTCACGACAAGGTCACTGTATTCTGAATGGTTAGTAAGACAGTGTGCAGCAGTTATAACAAATCGATTTGTTATCAAAAATCCTCCACACACATGATTTATTTCTTGATGTGTGCGATGTAATGTGCTATTCTTACTAATAGACACAACAAAAGGTAAATCATTTCTAACTGCCTCTTTCACATGTCTCAAGTCCGATTATGGGTATTGCATCGTTAAATAAATATTGGCCACCTTAAATTTACTCATACATTTTAGTAAAATCTTATTTTCTGTTACCTCAGAAAGATTTTGCATTGTACTTACCCAATGCTGTGTTAATATAAATTATACGTATAATTTTCCACAAATAATCCATATCGCTGCTTACGAGGTTAGTTATTTCCTCAAGATATGATACAAAAGTGTATTTTTTGAATTATGTTTCACGAAGTGTAAGTTAAAACTGGAATATACTCACAATTTTGTAGGTTGAGCGAATATTAACAAAGTCAATAAAAATATTATTCGTTGATAAAAGTTAACTACATAACCTAAGGTCTTTTTCCTAAACCAGACAGTCAACATGGTTCTTCAAAATATCCAACATATAATCGGTATTATCTTAATAATTTGTATGTAACAACGGTATATTTTTTTACAAAATGTTTTTAGAATGTATGCTAATTGATACTTATTTCACGTATATATTTTTATATGGAGATGGTAACAACTGCAACGATTGTCAAGCGACGCCATTATACGGCCGAGATGTGAGGTTAGCCGAGAATAATGAATTTCCTTTCGTAGTATCTCTCAGTCTTAAATCTAATAATATCGAAAGTGAAAAAAATCACTTTTGCGGTGGATCATTGATAACGTATTCACATGTATTAACAGCAGAACACTGTGTTATAAATAAATTACATTATTACGATTTGGTGATCAAAGTAGGGTCTATTGATTTGCGAAATACTTCAATTTATCGGGTAGCGTGGTGGATCACGTACAATCAATGGAACGTCAATTATAATGATGATGAAAAAATAGGAAATACTAGTCATGACATTGCCATTATTAAGGTAATTTTTTACGAATTGCAAGAAATTTATTTTTTCAAGTTACAATGTCTATTACACTGTTATAGTTGTATGGGAATGTCTACTCTTCTATCAAATTAGGAATACTAACCAGGTTTCCCGATAAGGATTTATACGGTAAAAAGGCTGAGACTGCTGGATGGGGTCGAACAGAAGTTAAGAAACCTGCGAGATATTTAAGAACTGTGGAATTGTTTACACTACAGCCTGAAAAGTATTTGTTCAAAAACTTCATTAATGATACTGCATTCCAAAATAATTTTTTCACAGAAAAGTTCTTAATGTCTTCTGCTAAACCACCTGCTTACTTGGGATGTGTATGTATACTACCTTAAAAATATTTATGATTATTTCCAATGGTAAAAAGATGTATCTTCCTAACAGGGAGATAGTGGCAGTCCGTTGCTCATAAATAAAAGAGAAATAATCGGTGTTAATAAGGGAACCTGCTGTCTGGTTAATGATACTAGTACAATAAATTATCAAAACTTGCATTCATCAGTCAATTATTACATAAGGTATATTAATGATGTGATAAATCTTTAATGTAAATAGTTATGACTGAAAAGCTGTAATATTTGTAGCTTCTGAAAATAAAAAATTGGAAAGAGATATGATCAAGTTTGTTAGAATTAATTACATATAGTTAGCAGTTTAAAAACAAACGTCTAATCCAAAAATACAAAAAAAGGAATACACAGCAACATACCGTAGTTTTCTCTTTATAGAGCATTTTCTCTTACAAAGACTGTCTCGAAATTTAACGGCGCGCAATTCAAAATTCACCATCACTAAGCTAATTGATACTTAAAAGCAAGTGATCGGGGACTCTAAGGGATATTATTAAAATTGATTAATTTATCGTGCCTTAAACGTCAAGGAAAAGAAAGCGCAGAGCGGTTCAAAAGAAAGAAAGAGAAAAAATACATTTTCCCTGTCGCGTGCAGTTCCAAATAAATCTATGTCACCCGTCGAGCAAACAAAGCCTTTGAAACCATAAAGCCTCTCTCTCGAAGTATCGGAGCAATTAAAACTGACCTCTGAAAGATCCGCCTTTAGCTTCTTCTTTATACGTTTGTATCGAATCGTGCAAATGATTGATTTACTTTAGCGAAAAGCAACAAAGCTCACATTAAATCGCTTTTTACACTAGAAAACGTTATTGATAAATTTTGTGATACGTAGAACATTATCTCAGATCTAGCGGAAATATCGTTCAAAGATAGAGTAGAATGTAAATAATTTATATTACAAGAATAGAATGTAAATAATTCATATTACAAAGTTTCAAAATGTTGAAATTAAGCACCAGGATAGATGGCAAGGTTTTGACGACTACTACACGAGTCTAGCAAAGTTCAAGCATACTCTCAGCTGACTAACGACATACCTACCATACGCCATTAAGCAGTCCATCAAAACATTCGAGTGACGATATGTTTCTACTTGCTAATCCCCTTCAACGGCAAATCTATCGTAATATACTCAAGTTGAATATGTGCAGAATTGACGCCGGTAAAGTGAGTAATTAAAAATTTGAAAACCTATACTCGGAAATTAAATAACGTCGGCTATAATGATTGATAGTTCTTACCTTCCGTTGGAAGTTCCATTGTGCACTTGGTTTATGATTTTTTGAACACTCACCGATTCTGCAGCACTTGAAACACAGTAGATTTGCAATTGTGTTTGAGTGATTTCGTCGAGTACATTGTTGTGTGTTGTAAAATCGATTTTACACGGATGCATTATGTTTCATTGGTATTAATTATTGCAACTTTTTGCAAATTCACCCTGATTTTCTTCACATGTAGGGGTTTAAGCATTTGAAATCGTCAGTATTTCTTATTTTCTTAAATTATAAACATTCAGATCAATACTTGCGCAATGTTTCTGTATTATAATTTTTTTCTTATTTTGTATTTTCTTTTCGTCAAATATATTTCTCAGTATCCATAAACGATAACTCTAACGCGAGAAAAAAATGTTTCCAAACAACTCAGTCAAACAGCAGCAAGATACAACAGCATTAAATCCAATTCGCCGTAAATCTTGGCAGTAAACTGTCGCAAACGACGCTCATAAAGAGACCAATCATTGTCTTCTTTTACCAACCAACTCGATTACAGTGTACAAACTGCGCGTTCTCGTATACGAATCTTCATTATATCCTCTCATTATCATCTCCACTCGTGGGCCCCGTTTCTTCATCTTTTTTTACGCACCGGGACGAGTTTCGCCACCCAGAAATATCGCATCATTATGCGTCGCACGTGTGCGCGTTCGAAGTTTTACATAATGTGCCCTCATAATCGCATAATGCTCTCATTTAAATTATGATTTTTCCATCATTAACTAACTAATTGCTTGCAATCGAACAATAAATGTTGGAATTTCTGTAAAAGCATGACGTCAATGAAAATAATGTTATGTGTAAAGAGTGTCGGATTTCTTTTTTTCGATCTTGACAGTCATTTACACGATAAACAATAACCTGTCATTTCGGACTGTCCTCATTTTTGAGATTATTTACAAAGCGACGCGAAAAAAAATTAATCGAGAGTTGACAAAAAAAACCGTGGAGAAAGATTGATATTTGGGTTTACCGACGCACACAACCGGTTAGTCAGTGCTATGTAATTAGAGGTGCAACGTATTTTTTAAAAGCTTAAATTGGATTGGCCAGTAGATCCAAGCATTATTTTGATTGAGGGTATACGAAGGGACTTGAAGAAACGAAATCATAATGCATGGACACGTGGATACAAATTGTGTGTATTTATTTATAAATTGTAATGGATTTTTAATTCATTTTTATGACTATTAGACTCGCGTATTTTTATTTTTATGATTTTGAATTTTTCCACCGTAGCTCGGTTGGTAACATTATGACTTCGACCTTCGTGGGTACAAAATAGTGTACGCACCACGACTAGGAAATTGACTGGACTTTACCTCGGTTGTCAATTTTCACATACTCGTACTATGGATTTGCCAATACTTTCACGGCCTGAGTACGCATTCTACTATTATCGGTACGGTAATTAAGAGCCACTAGTACATGGTTTGTAGTTATTAACGGTCTTGTGCAGTATAAGCATGGTTTTCATAGATTTATTTAAACTAATGGACACGACGAAGGGAAATTCATGGTAATCTGTTTTTTTTACCATTTTCACGGATCAATAGAATTCCTTCGTACATTACATACTAAGGATTTTAAGTTAATAATTCGTGATATTTTTTAACGTATGACTCGTGTATAAGTCAATTTTTAAATGTATAATATACCAACGAGAAAGTATGACTACCAGAAACACTATTATTCCAATGTTATAGCTTTCCATTAACACGATTTGCTGATTTCTTGACACTGGAATTTTCCTCTAAACTTGAAATTATACATGCGCACAATGCAATAAATTAACGACTAAGCATAATAAAAGTTCGTGTCTTTTGAAATAGGTGATATTATTATTGTGCCACGAATATTATTATGAAGTATTTGGAAATTTCCAGAAGTAGCATCAAAGCTTTTTAGATTTTCCAATTTTCATTTTCTTGGCTGAGTCATGAAAAGTCATATGATATCTTTCAACAGTTATCCACCATTTCCTTTAATGAACTACGACATTTGTATATCATTCAATCTAATGTGCAGTAGTGAAAACGTGTGAAGTAGTTATCGCAGCTCCATAATCGTGATTTCATTCCACTTGTTCGGATTTCAAAGATGAATTGTTACTAATAGATATGATAAAAAATAATTCACCTACATACGTTATATTCATGTTACGGCCATTTAACGGGGTTATTTCGTAAAATAGTAACTGACTCAAATTGATGGCACTACATTTTAGAAATATATTTGAATTCTAATTATTGTATTTCTGCTTTCTTCAATATGAAATAGAGGCAAAGTAAACATAACATCTTTCATAAGCAGTTCATTTTGCCATTAGGTACGTTAAAAATGGCAAATAAGAAAGTATATTTGGAAATATGTTCCATGAAATCCAGTGAAATAAAGGCACAGTATTTGCACTCAAGCGAAAATTTGGAAAACGAATAAATTATTGTAATAAATTATACTGAGCAGGATAACGTACAATATTCATATATTTTTTTCATATGTATTAGTTATATGTAAGTTTTGAAACATGAGCTAAAATTGCTGATTTAAAAAAAACGAATGAGTAGTAGTTTATTAAGCATAGTTTATTACTTTGTTTGGTATGGTTTTTAAAATTGAAATTGTTCTAATTCATGTAGAATAAATAGAATAGAATTCGTGTAGAATATAATGAAAAAAAGAACAACCAGTTCCATATTTTTGTATATTTAATTACATAGCATATTTTGTCAGAAAATACATTTGGAATTTTTAATTAGTAATGATTGATATAATTTGTTTCACATTTGCGTCACTTCTTTAATGAAATTTATGGCATTATTAACAGATGCATGCACATTCACACAGCCAGGTACTGTACTCGAATTCATTACGCATGCCCCTTTGTTAATCCCAATTAAAGTATGCTCATCTTTCATCAACAAAGGGCTGCCACTGTCTCCCTGTAATATACGGAGCAAAATTATTTTTAAATCAATTTTCCTTATATTCAACTTGTACCTACTGGTGTCATACAAGCATTAGGTGAAATGGAACAAAAATATTGGTTGAGTTTAAAATATTTACACTCATCCAGAGCCATTACAAAAAACTTTCCAACCCTTTTATTTTTTGAAATTATGTCATTTTCTATCCTGCTCCAGCCTCCTGTTATTACTAATCTGCCCATTAAATTATTGAAGGAAATATACTTTATTTTAGGTAATTGAATATCTGAACTCGCAGCAATTTGCAACTGTACAATAAAAATAAACTTAAGTTCTAACTATTTCTAAAGCTACAAGATGAATTGATTAGAAAATTTAATAGACCTTTATGATAGCTATATATTAGCTATATATTAGCATAATTAGCTAATTTATCAACTGGATTATATGCAATATTGGCCCATTCATTGTAAGTTTTCCACCATTCTAATGCATGAGGGTTACCTAATCTCAAATTATTTGATCCTATTATCACAACAATTTCATGGTATTCCCAGGATCGAAAGCAATGCGCAGCAGTTAAAACATGTTTGGTAGTTATTAAAGATTCTCCGCATAAGTGATTATATGCTTCTTTTCGACATTGTGAAGATATATTCAGGGATATAGACACAATAAACAACATTTCATATATAGTTGCAACTTGCACATCTGGTTCAGGTCCGACCAGTGGAGTCGCTTCGTAAAATGGAAATTGAGTAACTAAAATTCACCACTACATTTTTAGAAACGTTATTTATACACGAAATTTACATTTCTCTTTGTCTGACTTACTTGTGATAAAATAGAGGTGTATAATATATTTAAACATCTTTAACAAGATATTCATTCTGTGGTTTGATGCGAACGATCACTTTTGTCTAAGTTGCGTTGAAAATTGGAATTTTTGGATACACGTTATACAGAATTTAGTAGAATATGCTCATTGTTTTAAAGCTAGGCAAATATTAGTCAAATCAATATGATTATTCATCGATAAGAGTTAACTATGCAGTAAAAATTAAAAGTAAAATGCTTCTGCCGAACACGACGCATTAATAGATAATAAATGTAATAAATTAATAGATAATAAATGTTAAATAACATCCATAACTGAACGTTATTGAACTTTGTTATAAACTTTTTATTTTATTTCATTTTATTTTATATTTCACAAGTACTTTAGAGACTTCAGATTATTTGCGAAATTCGGGTCCAAAATAACTGACGAATGCATAGTTTATATTGATACAAACAGAGTTATCCACGTTTAGGAAATATTATTTACCGATAAGGCTTCCAACATGACATTAATAATTTTGGTAACCGCTAAGTCCATAAATAATATCAGTATAAATCCAAGGTTAAATAAAATAGCTATCAAATCGAAAATTGTGTCTAGGCATTTCTTTTGTGAAATATTGACTCAGGTGAGTCACCCTAAAAATCTTTTAATATAAAGTTAACGGTAAAATTTAATTTGTTGAATAATTTAAAAAAATATCACAGTTCTAAATTTGAAAATGAAGAGACTTATTCTTTAAATTTTGTTTAGATGAAATACTTGAAATATCAACTTTTAAAAATGTATTTTGCATAATAGTAATGCCATATAAGTTCAAACAATCATTTGCAATGGATCTTTTTCGTAAAAAATAGTGCGATTAGAGCATATCATGAAAATAAATTAGTCTCTAATTAAGTTATCAAAATTAATTGAATAACAACTGTAAGTAATAATTTTCCCCGGCGACGTTTCCCCCAAGCGAAGGAATCAGTAAACAAGATTGACTTTGTCATGTCGACATTGACATCGACACAGATTTATAACATATATCGATACGTCAAGTCGTTGCTAAAGATTACAGCAAATTCAATCCTCTTCATCACCTTATCAGACGCACTATGTAGTGTTATTGACATGCCTCTCCCTCTTTGGCGGGCAAGTTCAACGACACGTTATATATATGCCTTTACTGACTTATATTATTGATCGTTTTTCCATTAATGCTCGTTAACGATATATCACTCTCGCATTTTAATAATTCACTCTTGAATGCCAACTATTTCTCGATGCACAAAGTGAGCGTTGGAGAAACGACCTCAATCGCCCGCTTCTTTTTTTCGCTCGCCAAGGAATATCATTCGGCGCCCATTATGTCAACCCGTAAAGCCGAGCAAGCCTGGTAAAAGCCGCTGCTACCGTCGTCCTCTCGTATGTACTTTCGATATCGGGAGATTTATTATCTCTCTCTCTCTCTTTCGTGGCAAGGAATCGCGCGCGTTGTCCTCTGCCTCGTGCGCGAACCTGGAAACCTAGAAAAATTTTTTAAAACTCCAAGCGCACGTGGTACGTACGTCGTATAGTGAGTTAGTTATGTGGATATGTTCTTTGAATTATAGGTGGGATAATTAGAACGAAAAATCCACGCTCTGATTACGTGGATTCTCGAGAATCCAACGAGCTTTCATTGCTCATATAGCTTTGTATGCCTTCAAAGAGAAAAAAACAACTAATTCACTTTCTTTCCCGAATTTTGCGTGGCCGCAATTGCCACTTCAGTTCCCATCGCCATCTAAATGCCAATACAAGTGAAATCAAACAACTTTCAGACTCTAAGACTCTTAGAAAAGAAATCCTTTCGCAACATCCATACGTTGACTCTGTAGAATGCAGTCGGCATATAAGCCACAGCTACCTGCTCGATAACTTAAAAATTTATTAGGTTAATTAGTACGAGGTGCTCTGGCTGCGCGAGCTTCTTCTGCGACGGAACTCCGTCGAATATAATGTCACTATTATCGAGCGCAAATCGTGAATCTCTGCACGCTGCGCGCAATGACTAATGCAGCTCGTTAGGCTTCGTACTCTCTCGGGCTATCTCTTATTCCGAAGAGATATACGCTCCGTAAGCCTTAGCTGGCACGTAGAAATAGAAAACGCACGTGTCACAAGCTGTTGACTATCCAACGTTTCCAGAGCAGTTTTCAAATAGTAGGTTAGCATTCTCTTCAGTTCCGTTTTCTTCTTCGTTCCTGGTTTCGGTGTGTGTGCTGCGCGCGAAGGCAAACGCATCCATTTCGGATGCCTCTTGACACGCGAATGTGTACCGCGAGGTCAAACAATCCGTACAACCAGTCGTTCATCGAGAACTTCACATTACAATGTGCGCTTGCAATAATCCGCGCTGCAAAAACGACGCACACTTGTCTCGCATAATATCTCATTAAAACAGGTATGCGTGAATGTGTGTTTATACAGCTCGCCGCCTTCACTTGCGAAATCTCCCACGACCATCAACTGCAAAATCAATCAAATTGACGACGCCATGAAAACGAGTGTAAACGTCAGCCGGAGAATCTCCATTTGAATTTTTTGTCGAAACAACGCCGCGCGATATTTCCAAGTGGGTTAACGCTCGCAGTTGTAACGCGAGGGCCTTTTTAGAAGTGCGTAATGATGCGTCCGGGAAAATTTGCGTTGGTGTTACAACTCAATTTTACTGTCGCTTCGCCACCCGTCGCGTGAAATCTAATTTGGCGCTAATTAAATTTTTGATTGGTCTCGCAAAAGGAGAACGACTTTTGATTGTACATTTTATAATTATGCCTTTATTTTAATGTATGTGTATTTACCTCACAGTATGGTGCATGTTTTGTTATTAGTGCATGATATCATATTAGCTACAAACTCTCTGTAAGGATAAACAGACGTATGCATATTTATACTTCTTATTTTTATTCCACGATTTAGGGTAATACAAGTACCCTTATGAACCGCGACTATTTGATTTCAATTTATAATCACTGGGCTGCCACTATCACCCTGTAAAATATTATCATATAATTTCATACGACACTACATCTTAGATAACTTTGTTCTTGATTTTACGCACACAGGTCAATTCGATTGGAGGTTCTGCAGCGGTGCACATAATTAAATGTGTTTTACAACCTACATGAATATCCATAGCCTCTATCCAGTTCTGTGGACAGTCTTTAGATTCCAATATCCTCATCTCTGCTGTTAACAAATACCTTTTTGACATATTATTTTCTAAAAATCCCCAACCGGGCACGAAAACTTTCTTGCCATATAATTGAGACTCCGGAATCAATGACAAGACGGCTACGGTCCTATTAACACTTCCCCTCAACTGAAATATTTTTAAATTTTTGTCATAAATAAAGTTTTTCTCGTAATTAACTATTTACGAAAATAATTTTACCTTAATGATTCCGATATCGTTTAGAGGATTATCGGGTAAATCATTATGGACATATTCATCAAAACTTATCCATTTTTAATACCATACGTTTTAGAATGCTTTAAATCGCTTTTGGTTACTTTAACAACTATGTCGTCATATTTGTATTCTTGAAAACAATGTGACGCTGTCAAGACAAGCCTTGACGATATTAAAGCTCCACCGCAGTGATGATTTCGTTCTAGACGTGCATTATCGACAGAGTTTTTCAAACTCAGAGATACAACAAAAGGGAACTCATCTTTATAAGCGAACCTTACTTTTTCTCCAGTCAACGGATTTCCTTCGGTGTACTGTTGATTGTCTGAATGTAAGACAATCATTCACAAATTTTATATAATTTTCAATATTATCATAATTTGTTATACTTACACAATATTAAGAAGAAATAGATTGAAAACCAGATAGCTTGAAGCATGATTACTGAACCATTTAAAACAAAATTGTATGTATCTAAAAAATATTCAATATTCATATTATTCCGCTAAATAAGTTATTACGAGAGTTATTACTTGAAAATACGCGTTGCAACTATCGCAAGTCGTTCAAGCTTCAACTATTAAATTTTATGTTATTTTGAAAATTTATTAAAACTTATCATTTAAGCAAATTTTTTGACGGATCATTCTTTATGGCGTTATATTTCACAAAAACGAATGTCAAAATAATACGAAAAATATGTTAAGTCCATCGAATGTAAACTCGTTAAAACGTATAAAATTTGTAACGTTTACTATTAGATCGTTATTCGGGTACGATGGCGTACGTGCAAATAAACTAGAGGAATTGACGTCACATTCGTAATATATTAACGATTATGAACGAATACTACAATACGCTGCATTAATACGCCAATATTCCTCTTTCATTTCGTCAATGAGTAAGTCTTAAGTGCAAGTCCAAATCAGAGTTCGATTAAAATAAGCTTTGATGACAGCCCTTGCACTAATGCTCGGAAATTGTTTCCCTGCTTTCGTCGTCATTGGCCGTGACTTGTTTATCATAGAGCACTGCATCATTTGCCCTTACATTCTCTAGTGTCGGTTATATATTCCTTGTAATTAACAAATGCAAATGTTTTACGAATACTTACATAATAATAATTTTGATTTCATATTTCATATACGACTTATTTGAAAGTATTCCAAATACTTTTGGGTACTTTAGTGTCATAAGAAAACTGCAATGAAATTAAATATACAAATATGGTATTATGAAAATCCTCATCCTCCGTAGTTAATTGTAAAATATTGTAAAAAAACTCGAAGTTTGAGATCAATTCTTGTACGAATTAGTACGGGTTATATTTTATAATTTTAATATAAATGTTACCTACATATTCCACTTTTCCTGGTAAATCTGCATCGGTACACAAAAATATGTGAGATGTGTTTATCAGATTATTATGCTAACTCGAAAATTTGATAAGCGCATTCTTCAACCCTCAACGCGTTAATTACCCCAGTTGTCTTACATTTTCACCAGTTAAAGACATCTTCTAGAGGACTAAATATTTAATATATAAATGTAATAACCCAATTTTTGTATTTCATTGTCAAAAGTTTCATTGCTTTTACAATATAATTTGTTTTTTTATTTCTGGAAGACAGAACTGTCAATATGTATTTAAAATCACATCATATATAAATCGGATGCAATATATATAGGTGACTTGAGAATTTACATTTACACGAATTTTCGCAGATTACTATCTATTTCACGGTAAACTATAATAACTCAAATATGTTCCCTTCGATATGGAACAATAAAGATTATGATCAAACAAAAAAAGTTTACAACATGATAGTTCACACGTACATATTAAATCACAGTAAAAAGTTAGAATTTCTTAAATAGATATTGATTTACCACATGAGACTTAGGTTTATTGTATATTTCACACATTGATTATTTTATATTTATGAAAGTTGGTTAATTTAATTAAGCAAGTATGGTGGCTAACAGTATTAAAAATGAGTATCGTTTGAAACGTAAAGGATAGTTTCATTAAAATGCTGTGAAGGTGTTGTTCTAATTTCATAACTCTTCAGAGCTTCAAATCCAAGATATTAATGATTAAAATTACGTAACATTAATATGACAGTGAAAAACAAAAAAACATTGTTAATAAATTTTATGATATGTAGAACATTATCTTAGATCTAGCAGAAATATCATTCAAAGCTTGCAAGAATAGAATGTAAATAATTTATATTACAAATGTTTCAAAATGTTGAAATTAAGCACCAGGATAGATGGCAAGATTTTGATGACTACTACACGAGTCTAGCAAAGTTCAGGCATACTCTCACCTGACTAAAGATACACCTACCATACGCCATTAAGCAGTCCACCAAATATTCGTGTGACGATATTTTTCTACTTTCTAACTCTTTTCAACGGCAAATCTATCGTAATATACTCAAGTTAAATATGTGCAGAATTGACGCCGGTAAAGTGAGTAATTAAAAATTTGAAAACCTACACTCGGAAATTAAATAACGTCGGCTATAATGATTGATAGTTCTTACCTTCCGTTGGAAGTTCCATTGTGCACTTGGTTTATGACTTTTTGAACACTCACCGATTCTGCAGCACTTGAAACTCAAAAGATTTGCAATTGTGTTTGAGTGATTTCGTCGAGTACATTGTTATGTGTTGTAAAATCGATTTTACCCGGTTTATGTTTCATTATGTTTCATTGGTATTAATTATTGCAACTTTTTGCAAATTCATCCTGATTTTCTTCACATGTAGAGGTTTAAACATTAGAAATCGTCAGTATTTTTTATTTTCTTAAATTCTTCATTTTTTTAAATTTTCTTAAATTCATTTTTATGACTCTTAGACTTGCGTATTTTTATTTTTGTTATTTCGAATTTTTTCACCGTAGCTCGCGGTTGGTAACATTATGACTTCGACCTTCGTGGGTACAAAATAGTGTACGCACCACGACCAGAAAATTGACTCGACTTTACCTCGGTTGTCAATTTTCACATAATCGTACTATGGATTTGCCAATACATTTACGGCCTGAGTACGCAATCTGCTATTATCGGTAAGGTAATGAAGAACCACTAGTACATGGTTTATAATTATTAACGGTCCTGTGCAAGTATAAGCATGATTTTCTTGTACAGTTTTCATAGATTTATTTAAACTAATGGACACGATGACGGGAAATTCATCGTAATCTGTTTTTTTAAACATTTTCACGGATCAATAGACTTCCTTCGTAGATTACATACTAAGGATTTTAAGTTAATAATTCGTGATATTTTTTAGCGGATGACTTGCGTATGAGTCAATTTTTGAATGTATAATATACCAACGAGAAATTATGACTACCAGAAACACTATTATTCCAATGTTATAGCTTTCCATTAACACGATTTGCTGATATTTTTGATACTGACATTTTCCTCTAAAACTTGAAATTATACGTACGCACAATGCAATAAATTAATGGCGAAGCATAATAAAAGTTTTTGTCTTTTGAAATAGCTGATATTATTATTGTACCATGAATATTATTATGAAGTATTTGGAAATTTCCAGAAGTAGCATTAAAGCTTTTTAGTAATGACGTAAAGCTACATCATTAGCAACACTCAATAAATTTAGTTATTTCTTTGAAATTATTCCAAGCATGCAAATAATTGTATTGTTTATTTATCACTGGTTCAATAGATCTTATTTATAAGGATAGAAACCCACATCGACCCCTAAGGTAGTGTTTCCATCTTTTATTAAAGGATGGATAGAAAAGCAATCTCCTTTCATGTAATTTAGTTACATTCTAGGAAATGTACTTTCTCGCTAGATTTTTTTATTTTCACATGCTACTCAGGCAGCGATTGCTGCTACTGTAAAAAGACATTATTTCGATATATATCTTCCAGGATATTATCATTTTGGGCAATAAAAAACATCACATTTTTTGAACTGCATATGATAAATTTTCCAATTTTCATTTTCTTGGATGAGTCATAAAAAGCCATATGATATCTTTCAACAGTTATCCACCATTTCCTTTTATGAACTACGAGATTTGTATATCATCGAACCTAATTTTTATAAGAAGGTCGTCAAGATTTTGGTTTTTGAGACAATGTGCAGTAGTGAAAACGTGTGAAGTAGTTATGGAAGCTCCTATATCGTGATTTAATTCCACTTGTTCGAATTTCAAAGATGAATTGTTACTTATAGATATGTATTAAGGTATGATTGTTACTCGTATCGATTTATCTGTACGTGTGTGTGTGTACTGATTTGAATCTCCGCGAACGCGTATTGTTGTATATTATAATATTGTGCAACAGCCAAAAGACGTTTTCTGTTTATCTATCTGTACCGCGAGTCTCTCTCTCTCTCTCAGATAGCGTTATACCGCCGAACCGTACTCATCGCGACTCACAACGTACGCATGTACTTGACGACGTTCACGCGTAAATAAATTTATATCTAATAACCTGATGTTATACATTTATTTATTCACATGTAAATAACAATATGATAAAAATTAATTCACCTACATACGTTATATTCATGTTACGGCCATTCAACGGGGTTATTCCGTAAAATAGTAACCGACTCAAATTGATGGCACTAATTATTTTATTTCTGCTTTATCCAATATGAAATAGAGGCAAAATAAAAATAACATCTTCCATAAGCAGCTCATTTTGCCATTAAGTACATTAAAAATAGCAAATAAGAAAGTATATTTGGAAATATGTTCCATGAAATCCAGTGAAATAAAGGCACAGTATTTGCACTCAAGCGAAAATTTGGAAAACCAATAAATTATTATTAATTATGCAGGATAACGCACAATATTCATATATTTTTTTCGAATGTATTAGTTATATGTAAGTTTTGAAAGGTGAGCTAAAATTGCTGATTTAAAAAAAACGAATGAGTAATAGTTTATTAAGCATAGTTTAATACTTTGTTTGGTATAGTTTTTGAAAATTGAAATTGTTCTAATTCGTGTAGATATTCAATGTAAATATAATGAAAAAAAGAATAACCAGTTCCATATTTTTGCATATTTAATTACATAGCATATTTAGTCAGAAAATACATTTGGAATTTTTAATTAGTAATGATTGATATAATTTGTTTCAC